AAACAAAAAGTTATTCAGGATTATGTCCAGAAGTACAAGGTATATAGTAGAAATGTTACTGATTTTCTTTTCTGATCTCCCATTAAATATATATAAACACGTATATACATATATTATATATATGTAAAGTATAACTGACTTAAACAGAAAAAAATTACTTACATGATGGAGTGGTTAAAATTGTATACTGGTTAGAATGGGGTAATACAGCGGAAGAGAAGCCATTTACTGCTATTTACTTACGACAGGAATATGTTTTTAATATGCTTGCCTTAATTTCCAGATAAATCCAAAGCAATAGGCACGTGATTAAACCTTATTAGGACTGCCTTTCATCCAAAACCACAAAGCACTTGTTCTGTGAATTCTATGTATAATATCACCTTATCTTCGAAATGTGGTCTATTTTTGAATGCAAGGTGGCCAGTGGTTTACAGATCAAGGCAATTTTGATCTGTGTCTGAACCAAAAACTGAAAATGCCGTATCTTCAGGTAAATATTAAGAAGAAGAGAGAAAATAAAATTTCAATTCAGTAACCGAGTTGCTAATACTCTTGTAATGAGTAATACTCTTGGTATTGGGTTGGTAATACTCTTGTAACACTGACTCTTCTTCTCAATGTCAGAATCATTTTTACTCCCTAGAAGACTATTCTTTAGGATAATTCTAGATACTAGTACGTGTTAAATAGAAGGCAGATATTTTACGTTCAGCTCTCACTAGTCCCCTGAAAACGTACTTTACTTCCTGACTTTTATTCTTGTCTATATCCAACAATATTTTTTCTATATTACCTCTTGATGTAGTAAGAAAATTGAAGACTAAAATGAGTAAAGTAATCAGTGTCCAGTTTTTCTTGAATCTGATCCTTGGGATTGGTGTCAGTAAGTTTACTGATTTTCTTTCCTTGGGAGAAAACATACGGTTCCTTTATTTCAAAGGTGATGTACTGCTGCTTTTGTTCTCAATATTAATAAAAGACCAACAATACTTTTAATTGCTGTTCAAATGCTAGAAATACTTTTAGCTAAATTGCGTGGAGTTGTAATTTGTTAATGTCTTTCTCCTGTGTTCTGCAGGAAGATGAGAAATGATAATATATTATTTTCTTTCATTTCCTTCTTTTCTCTTAGGGTTTTAAGATAGATTTAAATTGCAAACAACTCACAGTAGACTTTGTGAACCAATCAGTGCTACAGATTAGCAGCCAGGATGTTGAAAGTAAACGTAGCGACAAAACTGATTTTGCCGAGCAGCTCGGAGCAATGAACCGACGTTGGCAGATTCTGCAAGGCCTGGTAACAGAAAAGGTAAAGAAAAAGCTAGCTGTTCTGTAGAGAACTTTCAAAATAAATAGATATATGCCATAAAAATGTTTGGAAGTCTCTGAAGATCGTCTAGTCCAACTTCCTACTCTAAAAAAGCTAACTTTAAAGTTAAATCAGATTGCACGGGGACTTTCTCAGCTGAGTTTTGAAAACCTCCAGGGATGGCAATTCCACAGCCTCTGTGGAATTCCCGTGCTTAACCACCCTTGCAGAGAACAGGTTTTTCCCTTATGTCCCGTAAGAATTTCCCTTGTGGTAACTTGTGGCTGTTGTCTCTTCTCCTTTCACTGCACACCTCCAAGAAGAGTGGTTCTCTTTTCTCTGTTACTCCCCGTAAGTAGTAGAGGACTGCAACGAGATCCCTCCTTACCCTTCTCTTATCCAGACTGAGCAGAGGTGGCCTCTCCTTTTATGTCGTGTTCCAGTCCCCTAACCACTCCAGTGGCTCTTCAGCAGTTTGTCAGTCTCTCTCTCGCACTGGAGGGCTCAAAATTGGGCACAGTGCTCCAGACACACAAGTGTCAAGCAGAAGGGAATAATCACTTCTCTTGACCTGGTGGCAGCACTCTCGATAATCTAGCCCAGTGTGCAGTTAGCCTTCGTCGCCACATGGACACACTGCTGACTTACCGTGTTCAAGTTACTGGCCACCAGAGCACCTAGGTGCTATCACCAGAGCACTCGGCAAAGCTGCTTTTCTATCCAGCCTGCTGCCAGCCTCTGTTGTTGCATGAGGTTACTTTGTCTCAGTCACAGGACCTGCTGAATTTCATGGGGTTCACGTCAGCCCATTCCTCCATCTTGTTGAATCTGTCTGAATGGCAGCCCTACTCGCCAACATATGAGCCACTCCTGCCAACTCAGTGCTGTTTTTGAATCTGCTGAGAACACAGTCCGTCCTGTCATCCAGGTTGTTGACGAAGACATTAAACAATATCAGCCCCAGGATGCCCCTGAGGACTGCATCTCGTAACTGATCACAAGATGGACCTTGAACTGTTGACCACTAACCTTTAAGCCTAACAGCTCCAGTCAGTGTTCTACCCTCCTCGTAGTCCTCCCATAGAGTCCATATCTCCTCAAATTGGCTACAAGGACACTGTGTGAAAAGTCTTGCTAAAGCCAAGGTAAACAACAGCTACTGCTTTCCCCTTGTCCAGTCAGTCATATCGTCATAGCTGGCAATCGGGTAGGCCAGGCACAATTTGCCCTTGGTAAGCCCGTGATTGTCGCTCCTTCTTGTTCTTCATGTGCCTGGAAATGGTTTCTGACAGGATTTGCTGTATAGTCTTCCTAAGTCGGAGGTGAGGCAGATCAGCCTGTAGTTCCCATGATCTTCTCTCTGCCTTTTTTGAAGAAGGACCTAACACTTGCCTCTTCCCAGGCTTCAGCAACCTCCTCCGATCACCATGACCTTTTAAAGGTGATAGAGAGCACTGCCTTGCAGTCATTTTGGCATCCTCAGATGCATCCTCTCTGGTTCTGTGGGCTTCTATATGTTTAGTTTATTTAAGTAGTCCCTAGTTCGTTCCTCTTCCACCATGGGTAGCGTCTCTGGCAGCCAAACTTTGCTACTAGACATGAAGACCAGGAAGTCATGAGAGGAGACCTCATCAGTAACACTGGAGGAAAGAAGGCACTATGTACTTCAAGCTTTTCCTTGGTTTCCTGTTGGTTATGATATATTTGGAAAGGGTAACAAAAAGGGCTTCTGTCTCTCACTAGTTTTAACTCCAGCCAAGATTTTGGTTTCCTAATATGACAACACTCCTTTGTAGTCCACTTCCATACACGCTTCCTTTTGCGTTAGAGCTGAGTTAAGAGTTCTCAGTTCAGCCCAAGCTGGGTTCCTGCTATGCCAGCCTGTTTTCTTGCAGCTTGGGAGGAGTCATTTTTGTGATTCGAGGAAGATGTCCTTGGAGATCATCCGGCTTCCTGGATTCTTTTGCTCACCAGGACAGCCTCCCGTGGTATCATGCTTACCTGAATAAGCCAAAGTCTACTCTCCTAAGCCCCCAGGGTCTTTAGCCTGCTATTTTCTTTTACTTCCTTCGCTCAGAATCTTAAACACAAACATCTCGTTGTCGTTGTGGCCAAGGCTGCTTGACCATCGCATCCTCAACCAGTTCTAATTAGGATTACGACGAATTAAAATGAGAAAGCATTCCCTACAGTGGAGTTACCTTAAGTAATGTGAATGCCTTTTATGACAACTCTGCCATTTTCAAATTCTGCTTTATTCTTGAATTCTTTCAAGCACTTTCAAAGAACAGAAATGCTATCTGGTTCTCCACTGAATAGCACCTGCAGCAATCGAAAAATCAAGATAATTTTAAAGTAGTCAGTCGACAAAGAAAGAGGTAATATGAATCTTCATCTGCTTTGTCACATTCATAAGCAAGGAACATAAAATCTATGTTTACATCTTAAATCAGTGAAGTCATTAATGTCTAAATAAGCTATCTGAATAGAATTATTCTTGGATGGAGCAGTGTTTTTTATTATGTACTCTTTTACAAATAGCTAATACATTCCAGTTTGAAAGCATATACTGTTTTTAAATTTTGAAAGCAGTGGATTTTACCTGAGAAGGCACTGGTCAGTTTTTGTCTTCACTGATTTATTTAATTGGCCCAAAATTAGAGAGAATTGTATGAGGAAGCATATACTCATATTTTTTTACAGATCCAGCTACTGGAAAGTCTGCAGGAATCCTGGACAGAATATGAAAATAATGTGCAGTGCCTAAAAACCTGGTTTGAAACCCAAGAGAGGAAACTGAAAAAGCAACAGAGAATTGGAGACCAGGCTTCAGTACAGAATGCTTTGAAAGACTGTCAGGTAATGTCCCCTTATAAATAACAATATTCTGTATGTGCTCTTTCCAGCAGTTAGAAACAAGTTTTAAAGCCATGTGATATCTAGGTTCAATTAAGTGAATGATATAATGTCCCCTTACTTCAGTGAGGAAGAGATTTCATTCCTAAAATGCAAGGAATAAAGGCACTCAGAAGCATCCAAACCCATTATTCTTTACGCATCCAGTATTAAAGTGTGGATGCTTCCAGGCATGCCAGGCATGCTGAGCTATAAAGGTGGTCAGAAGGATGTGCCCTCATTTCTGCTTGGCCAGTTTTATGGAACTTGGTATCATGAACATCATGCTTGATTATTCAGAAACTTGATGGAGGGGAGATTGTCTCATGACTACTTTTTCTCTCCTCCTCCCCTCCTTTTTTTTTTCCATTCTTTTTCCCCCGATATTCTCCTTTCCTCAGGACTACTCAAAGAAAGATACTAGAATGAAGGGAGGTTTTAAGGTCCTTTTTAAAAAGTGTAAGGAATCAAATTTATGCAAATATTCAACAGTTCAGAGTAGCAAGTAGAGCCGAAGTCTCTTTTCCTTCCAAAAGAAAAAAGGACTACCATGATTGGGATGGGCAAAAAAAGGCAAAAAGCTCAGCTGCATATTAGACACTCTTGATCGTAACCACCTCAGTTTTTCATGTAAAATTCATACAAGAGCTACACAGCAGTGAATAGGGAATCACAGGTGATTCTGAACATCTTACTAGGAGAGGCACATAGTAAAGTATTCAGAAGCTTTCTTCTGGAGATGTGAGACTGTGGCTCAAGCTTATAGATATATAGGGAAAATTTACTTGTTCTGAATTTCTAAACAGGGCCTCTACATGGTATCCAGCTTCAGATGATTTTTGTTAACAAGTTTTTTTCCCTACCAGACACCACATAATAAATTTAATGTGAGAGCAAATGTTTAATTGAACTCTGTCAGAACAACTGCATGCCTACAATCTTGATACATACTTCTTTATGTGCTCATCCCCTTAAAAAGGAGTAGGGAAGCTTATCTTGGTGTGGCTGCCTTTCTCCCATGCATTTAATCAAGAGGAGGAATATGATATGTCTTCACAAAAAGAAGTGCTGGAAATCTATTCCAGTGAAATGTGTAAGAGAATTAAATCTATATTCACCAGTATTGCTAACCCATCTTTGATTCTGTGAAGGCAAAGAACTGGTAAGGCCAGACATCAGAAATCATTTTTTTTCCAAGTTCTTAACTCAGATTTTTAAACTGGATGCCTAGTTTCAGATCAAGTGTGTATATGATTTCAGCACAGTAAACCCATATGACTGAACCAAGTGTAGTTTAGCATAGCCTGACTGGAGGCCTCCTAAATGGGAGGCTCTCTTTGGCAGGAGTTCAAAGCTGAATCTGATTTATCACCTTCATGGTTCCCTTTGGTCAGAGAAGTTAGCAAATATGCTTGGGGAGTCAGTTATGAATGGCAAAGCTTTGATCAGTAGAGAAACAAATTGTTTAAGAAGTAACTGTATCAGACGCTCCCAGGTATCCAGTTCAACTAGTACAAAAGCTGCAGCTTAATTATTAACCAATGTTAGTAGCTGCCTAATGTCAAATTAATAGGCAACCATGTTTTTCCATCACAGATCACAAACTGTGATGTCTCTTGAATCCGTTTATTGGATTAAAATAATTTTTTAAAACTCTTTCCACAGAGAGCCAGAAATATTTGCTGTTCTTGAAGTTTGAAGCTTTTGTCCATTTTACCTTTTCAGTTTTGAAACAACGTTGTACAAACTTAAATATATATTTTTACTGTTAAAATCCACTGGTTGAAAAGTCAGATTTACTCTCTGCAACTAAAAAGTGTTTATTTTGGTGTCAGATGGTAGAGAAAGATGTATTATTCCAAAATGGTAATGTGGAACAAAGTCATGGCTAGAAGTTAGAAGAAATATGAAACAATACAGAAGAAAAAGTTAAGAATAAACAGTATAGCAAAAATACTGTTGCACATATGACTTACTATGTATGCAGACAAAAATGTGTTGTATGTGTGCAGACGTAAATAGCAAGAGTTGCAGGGCAGAAATGGGCTCCAAATACTCTCCCTGGTATGTAAAATGTAAAGTCTGTTATGGTGATGGTTCATTTATTGATTGATTGATCAAATGATTGATTCTTAGGGAGATTAATTTACTGAAAGACATGGGTTTTCAGTTTGTCCAGAGTTTTGTTGGTTTGTTTTCTTTCCCTGATGATTCAGCTCTGTCCATAAGGTATGGCTTGGAGAATGTAGACACAGTTGAAAATGTAACCCTAGATCCCAAGATATACCCAACATTCCTAGCTCCTCACAGCCCACTGTCCGTATCATGGTGACTACTTAATCTTGGAGGGTGTATCTCCAGACAGGTAAACACAAATTTGTGCTGGCCTAAGTACAAGGTGTACTTCAGCTTTGCTGAGACTCAGCATTTGCACTAGCTGAGGCTGCACAGCTTCCATATGAGTCATTGCATGACTTTCCTGCACCTCCCTGCAGCGTGCCATGAAACCGTGCTTATAGGTCCACGGCTTGCAGTGGGGTCAAGGGAGCGTGCCATATGAATAGCAGTTTCGCATCAAGTCCTGTCATCCTCTGTCCTTCAGTTTGTAACTTCATTGTTGTGCTGTTGAGGCGTGAGGAGGAGCACAGGCTTAGTAAAACTAGCAAATGTTACATACCAGAGCTGCTGGGTTTCACTTGTTGATAAAACGTGATAAAAACAGAACTTTGGATCAGCATTTCCATGACAAATCTAGGGTCATCTTCAGTCAAAGACACAGTAGGCACCTGCCTGAACCAGCAGAACAGCCACTCACAGCCTGTCATGGCCTCGGAGCTTACATACTCAACCCTGTTTCCTTCACCTGCTTTCACACCAACCGTTCACCGTCTTCCAGTTTGCTTGGGTTTGGGTGTGGGAACGCTGAGCAGAGCAAAATGCTATTGAGCTCATTAATGCTTCTCAACAATGAGAGACCTTGGGGAGGCAATAAGAAAAATTCCTGCAGTCTTTTCATTGTTATCACTGGCTGGAGTCCAATGAGCTTGTCATCTAGCAAAAGGGAAGGCTTGCTGTCCTGGGGCAAGGGGCTTTGCTGGGACCTGGCGAAGGCATAAAGATTGCACTTCATGAGGGGAGGCATGGCAAATTGACATCTTGCCTTAGGAATTTATTTTGTCCTTTTTCCTTGGGTGGCAAAATTCAGTTTTTCCAGAGCCTTGAGCCAGCTGTGGGCTAATTAAAAAGCTCTCTCAGTGTTTAGGACAAGCTAAGAAACACAGCAATTTTCCCATGTATTCAAACTACTGTCCTTTTTTTAATGATTTTTGGACTCTTACATGAGAGCAGAATGATTTCACAGAAGTTTAATTTAAATAGAAGCATGTCCTCTGCATTAAAGACGAACAGCTATGCTTTAAAGGGAACATAAAATATTCAGTAAAATTGCTGATGAGTTATGATCCTCTTGAGAATAAAAAGCCAAAGCATACAAGCGGGCCTTTCCTGTTTTTTGACATTGTACGAACTGGAGAGTTTATGGGCATCTCTTCTATCTCAAGGCAGTCCGTATCCAAATAAACAAATGAAAATACCTAGTTTTCTTATTTTTCTTTTCAGGAATTAGAAGAATCAATTAGAGCAAAGGAAAAAGAAGTAGAAAACGTAGAACAGATTGGTCTTTCTTTGATACAAAGCAAGAAGGAAGAAGTCTCTTCTGCTGTAATGAATACACTGCAAGAAATTAACCATTCCTGGGCCAATTTGGATCACATGGTAAAAGAGTCATCCAGGGGCAAATCATAGCTTCAGGGCTAGGGCATGCAGGAGGAGGGGGAATTACCAATATGCAGCTAGTGAATTTCTTCTGTCTGATAGGGGAAGAGATTCTGAATAGTGCCCCTGTTTCCATCCGTTCCAAAGTTTGTATGCACGCTCCAGATAAAATGGGCCTAATTTTTCCTGTTTCAAGGGAATTTTTAAATTCTTACAAAGTTTTTAAGATGCTTCCTGATGTTTAGTTGAAAGGCACAAAATGTTCTGTAAAGAATTACCTTTTCAAGCACGCAGATCACGTAGTCTTTTATATGGAATAAGGAAGAGATCAGCACTGTCAGTGTCCAAAGCTGAATGCATCAGCCTGTCTTCTCAAGAAGCATGCAGTGTGGTAGTGCTAGCCTCTCTTGCTTCACTTCATAGGCTGACGTGCCTGTGTTAGTGACACGTGGTACATAGTCTTACAAAATTTCTCTTGATTGTACTTTGCAGCAAAGTAGGACAGACTGCATATCTTCTCAGTCCCCTCCATCCTAGTCTTCTATAGCTTTTTAAAGTCAAGCAGAAGGTTCTACTGTACCCAGTGTAAGCCCAGCTGACATGCAAAATATTTTCTCTTCTTTCTCCAACAGCTTTGAGGTTAAGCATGTAGAACAAATAATACCTAACATCAAAAAGAAGGAAATAATTTAAACCAAAAGGAAATGTCTCTTGAATGTTTTTCATTTACTTTTTTTTTTTGGTCCCTCCCTCCTCCTAGGTTAGCCAACTGAAGTTATTGTTGCAGTCCGTTCTTGATCAGTGGAGCATTTACAAAGTGGCGTATGAAGAACTGAATAGTTACCTGATGGAAGCCAGATATTCTTTGTCCCGTTTTTATCTTCTTACTGGTTCTTTGGAAGCTGTTAAAGTCCAAGTTGATAACCTTCAGGTGAAAAGGAATACCATGCCTCTTGACATACTAAGGATAGATTTAAGGATGAAATTATCCTCATTGCATGGATGTAGCTAGTTATAGATTTTTGGTTCATAAGGAATGAAAGTACAGACACATGAAAACCATTTGACATTAAAAGAACACTTTAATTTATCAAGCACAGATAGCATTTGCATCTTTCATATCTTAAAAAATTAAAAGATGACTTTTTATAGTTGTTTCCTTTCTAGATTTTTGAGGTTGCTCTTTACGTTTTTAACTTTACTGTCAAGTATTCAGCAGTTTTTAAATCATGTTGGTGACTGTTAAAGGTTCTCTCTGCATTTTCAGGCTTCTGAGCTATGGGCACACGTTGAGATCATATTTTAAAGGTTTTCTTTGCAAACCTGTGCTTGCAGTGAACAAAACAACGAATGTCCCCAAAGTTGAGATACTCATATAGTCAAGTGGTTTTCCAAGCTGGTACTGTAAGAAAAGCATAAAATATAATGAGACTCCTCTGGCAAAATTATATTTGAGAACGTTGTTTGCATAGAATAACCTCAAAAAAGCTGTTATCTTTGGAAAAAAAAAAGTTATGCAAACATGTCCAGGTGCTTAAAGTAACTAATATGCTGATATTTGCCAGGAAATATAATTTGACTCTATCATTTAAATATTTTGCATGGTTGGAAGTCCAGACAGATATAAAGCCAAACGTCCTGAGCAAAAACTGCAGTTTCCAAACCAAGATTCAAAGAGCATTCATTAGTGCATTTTACAGTCTCTCTTCCATGTTTTCGTTTTTTACATATCAAGGAAGAAGAGTCAATAAAACAATAAGTACTGCAAATTACTTTTTTATTTAGTAAGATCTTGACCATACTGTTTAACCAGGTTGAGATTTTTCCAGGCTGTTCAAACTGTAATATAAATACAAATATTTAAGGTAAAAAAACAAAAGTAAATTTTTCACTGCCAATGGCACTTCAGTATGATAAACAAAGGAGCAAGAGCCTTCTTTTCAGAATAGAGTTTTTTATGCTGTTACTTTTCTTTTTTCATCTCATTCAACGCAGGAAAAATGTGCATTTTTTTCCTAATTATATTTGTTTATTCTCTTCAGTCTGTTAATTTTCTATTTCTGAAGCAGTACCATGCACTGAAGTCCTTCAGTTTCGAAATCCTTCTGTGCAAGAGTATTTGTTTAGAATCATTTATTTTGCAAGACATTTCAAGAAGATACTATATAAAAACTTATTTTTTGCTGTACCTGAATATTGAATCAATTTGACCTAACAATTCTTTTTGCATTTGCAACCTTATATTTAGATGAAAAACACATTAAATCAAGTTTTACATTCATAACCTGTATGTAATTATATAATTATATAATTATATAATTAATAATGTAATTAATATATACCAAATTTTTTTACCTCATGCGATAGTAATAATTCCTGTATCTTTTTCTTTTTCTCTCTGTTTTAGAGCCTACAAGATGAATTGGAAAAGCAAGAAAATAGCTTACAGAAATTTGGCTCCGTGACCAATCAATTATTGAAA